TTAAAACTGCATTTTCTTTACAGTTTGGCATAACATGAAAAATAGCATAAAAATTCAGTAAATAATATTGAGAATCTGTGGATGTAAACCCTGGGAAATGATCTCTTTTGTTTTTTGCACTTCTCCCCCTCCCACCTCAATGATACTCATTGCATTAAGACAGACTTATAAGAAATTTCCTAAAGCCCCTCTTTCTCTTTAAAATAAGTTCTCTCCTTTACCTTCCCCACACAAACCTGCTCTGATGCACAGGAAGTTGTTTTTTTGGGGGGGGGATGTTGTAAATTAGTAAGTTATATGCATTTCACTTTTTATGATAGCTCTGCCCATTAAACAGTTTTGCTATAGTGTATCATGTTAAGTTTTGGAAGTAAATGCTATGGATGAATATAAATGTGTAGTTGAGGAATATACATTAAAGTAATAAGATAATAAATTGCTTTGTGCAGGTAGTCCTCAACTTACAACAGTTCATTTAGTGACTGTTCAAAGTTACAACAGCACCAAAAAAAGTGACTTATGATCGTTTTTCAGTTTTGACCGTTGCAGCGTCCCCATGGTCCCTTAATCAAAATTCACATGCTTGGTAACTGGTTCATATATAATAATAATAATAATAATAATAATAATAATAATAATAATAATAATAATCCCCCAGTGAGGCACTACCTTGACGTGGTTGTGGGGCTTGTGTACTCTGAGGAAGATGAGAGCTATGCCAGAGGTTCAACCATACTGGACAGGTCTCATCAGAGGAGTCAGACAAAGAGTGTCTCTCCCATAAAAAAATATGGTGAGACGTAAATTTCAGAATGCCATACCGGCTCGGATGTCGCCCGGGTTAACAAGGTCCGCGCTAGATATTGGAGTTCCTGGATATCTGGTGAAAAATGGGTTACAGGACTCAGGACTGTTGGCTGAGCAACCAGGGCCAGCAGCTGCAGAACTCCTGGAAGAAAAGGTGTTTACCCGTCGCAGATACACAGTGATGGAAAACAAAGAAATAATGATCTGTTACTACAGATCAAGTCCAACAAGAAGAGGATATCTAAAACGAATGAACCAGTTCTGGAAAGAACAACATCCAGAATCAGAAATAACAGAACAGAGACTAGCAGATCAACGCCGATTTATAACACGAAATAAAATATTCACAGAAACAGAATTGGAAGAACTGCAAAGGTTTACCCAGGGCAAAGAAATCAAAGCCTTACCAGAAGTAATTCAGAATGTAGAGGCAAACCAGGGGGAGTTGGCAGTGAATGAATCTAGCAGAGATATACAACTGTTCTCATTTGGAAATCAGGCACCTCTACCTCAGGAAGAACAAAACCCTCTAACTAAAGAAATAAAAGAATTGAAATAAAGAATAACTGAGCATCTAGAACAGCACAAAAACAACAGAATAAGGCTGCCTGCATTGAAGCTTGTTCCAAAGAAACAGCTAGCACAAGCATTAAAAGATGCAAATACTGCAATATCAAGTATAAGCACAAATTCACTGCAAGAAACAAATCAACTAATGTACAGCACAGCTGCAGTTATAACTGAATACCTGGGATGCAAAATCAACAAAGAAGAAAAACAAACAAACAGTGCACCACAAAAATGGAAAGTTAGACTAGAAAATAAGATCAGCACGTTAAGATCACATGCAAGCAAGCTAGAACAGATGAAAGAAAAGAAGCTGAAGAACAAGAAGACCAAAGAATATCTAATCAAGAAATACCACTTAGAAACAAGGAAGATCAGGGAAGCACTGGAAATAATAAAGCAACAAATAACAGCTATAGCCAGGAAAATCAGTAGATATGAAGGTCGAATTGCAAACTATAGGCAGAACCTCCAATTTCAATCCAATCAGAAACGTTTCTACCAATCCATCAATGGAGAAACTGCAAGGAATCAGTCAGTACCTGACAAGGAAGAAACAGTGCAATTCTGGAAGCAGATATGGATAACCCAAAGAAATACAACAAGGATGCAGCTTGGTTAAAAGAGGTGGATGCAAATAAAACAGAAGTTGAAATGAAAGAACTAGCAATAACAACAAAAATGGTAGAAAAAAGAGCAAAGAAAATCAACAATTGGTCAGCACCAGGTGAAGATGAACTGCATGGGTTTTGGTTGAAACATCTAACTGTTATACACCCACTCATTGCCAAACAGTTCAACAATATACTACAAGGAGGAGAAATTGAAAAGTGGCTAACAACTGGGAAAACCTACCTAATAATGAAAAATCCAGCAAAAGGGGCAACACCAGGTAACTACAGGACAATTACCTGCTTACCAACAACTTTCAAATTACTAACTGGTGTAGTAGCTGATGCAGTGCAAAAGCATCTAGTTGAAAACAATCTCTTTCCACCTGAGCAGAAAGGAAACCGCCCCAACAGCAGAGGAACAAAAGATCAACTCCTAATAGACAAAATGATCTTGGAAAACTGCAAGAGAAGGAAGACCAACCTGAATGTGGCATGGATTGACTACAAAAAGGCATTTGACTCTCTGCCACATGATTGGATAAACAAGTGCCTAGAAATAACAGGAGTCAGTAGAAACATCAAAAAATTTGTGCAAAGATCGATGGCACAATGGAAGACACAGTTGGAGATCAATGGTGAGAGGCTGGGAGAGGTTAATATCAAGAGAGGAATATTTCAAGGAGATTCATTATCACCATTACTATTTGTTATTGCACTGTTTCCTCTGTCAACAATACTGAATAACTCAGGACATGGCTATCAAACATCAAAAACATCTGCCAGACTATCCCACCTCCTTTATATGGATGATCTGAAGCTGTGTGGAAAAACATCATCTGAAATAGAATCGCTGCTCAACACTGTCCGTATATATAGCCAAGATATTGTAATGAAGTTTGGCTTGGACAAATGTGCCACACTTACTATCAAACAAGGAAAAATAGTGAAAACTGAAGGAATCAAGATGCCCCACGAAAATAACATTAAGAATCTGGATGAGGAAGAGTACTACAAATACTTGGGTATCCTTCAAGCTGACAACATCAAGCACACTGAACTCAAGAAAAAGATTAGAAGTGAATACATCAAGAGAGTGAAGAAGATCTTAAAGTCCAAACTCAATGGAGGAAATACCATAAAGGCAATCAACACCTGGGCAATCCCAGTCATTAGGTACACAGCTGGAATAGTGGACTGGACTCAAGCAGAACTAAAAGCAATGGACAGGCAGACCAGAAAAAATAATGACAATGAATCATGCCCTTCATCCACGCAGTGACATCGATAGACTTTATCTACCAAGGCAAATAGGTGGGTGTGGAATGCTACAAGTACATCAGATGGTTGAAGAAGAAAAAATGGCTTTGGAAGAATATCTGAAGAACAATGATGAAGATGCCCTGAAATTAGTATATCAGGAAGGCTTATTAACTACTGGAGAGACCAAACTGGCCTACAAGAAAGACCAAATGAAGAACAGAATAGAGGCATGGGAAGACAAAGCACAACATGGCCAATACATTAAAAAAATAGCTGGGAAAGCAGATATTAACAAGACCTGGCAATGGCTAAGAGCAGGAAAATTGAAGAAAGAGACCGAGGGACTAATTCTGGGTGCACAAGACCAAGCCTTAAGGACAAATGCATATAAAGTCAAAATTGAGAAGAGAGCAACAGACAGTAACTGCTGCCTATGCAAAGAAGCTGAAGAAACAGTGGACCACCTGGTAAGCTGTTGCAAGAAGATTGCACATACTGATTACAAGCAGCGGCATGACAAAGTAGCAACAATGGTGCATTGGAAGATCTGCAAAAAATATCATTTGCTGTAAGCAAAAACTGGTGGGATCATAAAATAGAGAAAGTCATAGAAAATGATAAAATTAAACTGCTCTGGGACTTCAGAATTCAAACAGACAAGCACCTGCAACATAATACCCCAGACTTAACAATTGTCGATAAGAAAGACAAAAAAAGTCTGGATAGTGGACGTGGCAGTGCCTGGAGACAGCAGAATAGACGAGAAAGAACTGGAGAAGAGAACAAAATACAAAGACCTACAAATAGAAATAGAAAGACTGTGGCAAAGGCAAGCAAGGGTAGTACCAATAGTCATAGGCTCCTTGGGTGCAATCCCAAAACAACTGCAGCACCACTTGAACACCATTGGCATTGACAAATTCGCTATTAGTCAATTGCAAAAGGCAGCCTTATTAGGAACTGCTTCCATCCTGCGACGATATCTATAATACCATCAAACATCTGCCTATCCCAGGTCCTGGGTAAGGACTCGATAGGTAGACAAAATGCCAAATCCAGTCTGAACATCTGGCTGACTGTGCGATGATCGATAATAATATAAAGTTGGAAGAGACCTTGGAGGTTATCGAGTCCAACCCCCTGCTCAGGTAGGAACCCTACACCATTTCAAACAAATGACTGTCCAGTCTCTTCTTAAAAACTTCCAGTGTTGGAGCATTCACCGCTTCTGGAGGCAGGTTGTTCCATTGGTTAATTGTTCTAACTGACAGTTGCACTGTCCCAGGGTCATGTGATCAGCTTTTGCAAACCCCTGATAAGCAAAGTCAATGTGGAAGCCAGATTCACTTAACATCCGTATTACTAACTTAATAACTGCAATGATTCACTTAATAAATGTGGCAAGAAAGGTTGTAAAATGGGGCAAAACTCACTTAATAAATGTCTCACTTAGCAACTTAAATTTTGGGCTCAATTGTTATAAATCGAGGACTACCTGTATTTGTTATCCTTTAAAGGGATTGGTTCATATTTATTTGGTAGGAGAATATGTGTGATGGATGATTGAACTTTTTAAAAGAATCTTGCAAAATAATTCAAGACATAGTAATCAAATACTGCATTATAACTAGTACTATGATAAAACTTGTAAAAATAAAGTACAAATGATATATGCATTACAACCTTGGGGATGGTGTATAATCTTGGATTATAAAAAAAGTGCTTAATAGCAACTTCATTTGCATTTGTTAGGAATCAGAAATGACCAATTCCATAACACCTTCTACCTATGTACGTTCCCTTGGCTATGGAATGATGAAACAGCTGGCAGATTTCATTGATCCACAAGAAGGATGGAAGAAATTAGCTGCTGATATAACTGATTCATCTGGTGCAAAACAATACAATCAAATGCAAATAAGGTAAGGTATAAAAACCAAAGGGGAAGCATTGTTACAGAGTTATTTATTTTTTAAATAAATTTATATAACCACTTAACCCCTTGATTCTAGCTAGAGTTAGTTTGCAACTTGCTCAATAATTTGGTCATTGAAAATGAAGGCAATAAAATTAGTGTATGCTCAAGCATGCTACTTTCCAATGAGTGATTGGTAGTTGGAGTGAGGGACCAAAAAAAAAAAAAATGTTAGAACAGCTGTTGTTGGGACATTGCTAAGGTGAGGGAATAAAAGTCAGTCTTTGAGATGGACCCTGTCTGAGTTTTTCCCGACTTGAACTAGAGATGTGCTAAGAAGCTGTATGTGGTGAGAAGCTGTATATATTGGATCATGTTGATATTGTATTGCCTGTAGTTTTTCATTGAAAGATTGACTGTCCAAAATAAGACTTAGGTGTCTACAGTTTGGGATTGTCTAACAAGGATGGCAACTTTATTTTTAAGAATGGCACCTTGATGCTGAGCCTTTCTTGTAATATCTGATTTTTTGCTATATTTGTTTTATATATCACTCAGTTTGTGAAAGCAATTTTGGAAATTAACTTTCTCTTCAGTTCAATTCAATTTATTTTGTTTTATAACATTTATTTCTGTGCCAGGTATAGTCCTTTTTCTCGTTGCTGCTGGGCTCAACTGTTATATAAATTATTTAAGTCAGTAGGTTCATGTATTCTAGTACTTTATAGCTGGCAGAATATTGAATAGCTGTTCAGGCTTGGACTAAAGACCTTATAGCAAAAGTGCAACTAAAATGGTTATAATATGTCACACTTCTATTGATAAATAATAGTTAATTCTTTTATCTAACTAACATATGTATATATCTTAAAGGCGATTTGAAGCATTAAAACAAGTAGGAAAAAGTCCAACCTGTGAATTACTTTATGATTGGGGAACATTAAATTGTACTGTTAGTGATTTGGTGGACCTCCTCATCAGAAATCAGTTCTTGGCACCAGCAAGTCTTTTGATTCCAGGTAATTTTGATCTATACTTTATCTTTGCAATGTATTTTAAAGAAAAGTTTTAAAAATGTTTTCCTTTCAAACTGTTATCTTGATATATTTATATACAATATATATATAATATGAAGATATATAGTCTTTGATGAAGCCTGGTTTAATTTCTTGCATTTAATAGCAATCTGTAAAATTAAATTCATAATGTTAATAGTTAAGAAATTCATACAAGAATTTTGCTTTCTTGAAAATATTGATTTCATATAATTAAACTATAACGGGACATGTTTTGTTCTGGCTTATTGCTAATATGAAACCATTAGTAAACCATAATTAAACTGTAGTGACCAAACATTATTAGCAAACTTTGCCTGAAAGGTCTGTAGAGAGTAGAGCTGAAACACCATCCGCTTATAAAATAACATGATTTGACAGTGGAAGAGATAGTTCAGATAAAACAAACCCTAATTAGCCTTCTTTGTGTGAAGCACAGGTTCTCACAGAATTTATCAATTTTATATATCTGTAGTCAAATTCTTGGCTAGCATAGTTGACCAGCTACCACAAAGTGAGGTTACTTTATACTAAGATTTTTTGCTGAATTGAAATTTTTGATTATTTTTGTTTGAAATAATTTTAGAGGATACAATTAAAATTTACATTGAAAAAAAACTTTTGTTTATTGTGTTTACTGATAGAAGTTATGCTGCTGAAGTAATAAATGATTTTTAAATAAAGTCGATAGTATTTTCAGGACTTTAATTTTTACATCTGGATTTGAAGAAACATAGTTAGAACTAAATATCAATAGTTAGTAAAAGAAAATAGCTTTTAAGTATGTGAAAGGGCTAATATTTTTCTGTTTTATACTATATATTAAAAATCCCTTTTATTCAGTGGGGTAGAAATGATGACAAAATTTTCAAATTTACAATTGAAGAATCTGTCAAATTATATGAGACACATATTATGAAAAAATGTGGTTGTAAACTGTGGTGAAGGCCATCATTCACAATTTAACCAGCCCAAGTTTTCATACCATTCTAGCTGATTCACATTATAGCTTTGTATTAGCCCCATAATATGCTTAAAAGACTGATTACTCAAGCATAATTCATTCCTTACACCTTTTTTAAAGTGATCTAGGATGAATGCATTTCCTATCTGACATCTATATGATTTTATTTAATGGCAGATTCTGTAAGCATGACAAAAAACATGACCCTGTGTCTATCCTTACCGGAAACTGTACTCCTACATAAAAAAGGACCTCTTGTAGAAGGCAAGAAAATATCTGAATTGCCATCCTTGGATCCAAATGAAGGCCACCTAACATCAAATAGTTGTGATCCGAGTTCAGAGAACATCAGCAGTCACCTTAATGATACAGGTAGATAATTATCCTTTCCAAACTTTATGTCATCTTTTACTCCACCCTTGCTAGTCCATTCCAGTGTAGAGGTTGGTTTCAGATGATGACAATCTGGTAGAGATATACAAACTTACAGCTGTTGACAAAATGAAACAAGGCTGTTTCTTTCTAGGAGGATTCTGGGTATTATGCCTTGACACTGTAATACTGTCAATCAGCAGTCAGGGCACCTGGCTATAAAGATAGATCTGCTCAGTTGCCTGTGGTCTGAAAATGCTTTTGGCCAGAAGGCTGGCTAGATACAAAAATCTGGTGTGAAGAATCCAATGTCCACATAGGAATTGAGGAAAGGCAAAACTCTTATTTCTGTACAGAAGCAAAAGAGGATGCCTTTGGGGTTTACATTCAAGGAACTCCCCAAAAATCAGTCAGTTATTTTTATACAATTTGCTACAGGAAACAAAAGTAAGAGAATTATTCATTGGTTACAAAGTTAAATGACAGTCATACATGCACACAAAGCAAAACCATTCCACAATACTTCATTAATTATTTAATTCTATATCATCATACAAGTTGAATACCTCCATGTGTTTTTTTATTATGCTGTGATAAATTGAGAGAAGATTCATTCTCTGAGCTTGTGGGTTGGTTTCCAAACGTTTTGTTACCAGGCTAGGTAACATCTTCAGCGGAGTTTAGGGGATGTCAGTGTTCTGTTTATAAGGGCTTTGTGATGAATGTGATCCATCACAAGACCCTCACTTGACACACCCACACCTGAGTCATTACAAGACCCAACACAAGAACCTCACTTGACACACTCACACCTGACCTATTGACCACACCAAAGCCCTTATAAACAGAACACTGACACTGACATTCCCTAAACTTCATTGAAAATATTACCTAGCCTAGTAACGAAACATTCAGAAACCAACCTATATGCTCAGAGAACAAACCTTCACCCTCATCCTATACCCGAGCTATAGATATTTGCCACTATGATAAATTACTTATCTCCAGGCTCCTAACCACTGTTAAGCTAAATACCAGGTACCCTTTTTTTATTCCAGTAACAAATTTGCTTGCAAGTGTCAAAGGTACAACTTGGTAGACCATATAGGAGATATTTGTGGACTGTTTGTGGGCAAACCCCCCCCCCCAGGTCTTGCTGTCAGATGTTATGAAATGTTACTTCTAACAGGTAAAAGCACAAATGAAGTAATGGCTCTGGCTAAAGTTAATTTATAAAAGCCTCTAATTATTTATTAGTAACCTAATAAACCACCAGATCTTTAAGCTGGAAAGATGTCATATCTAAGAACCAAGGAAATTTCCATTCATCCTACAATGCCAGCCTTGGTTGCTTGCAAAATGTCAAGAAATCTGTTGTTAACAGATACCAGCCTTGAAAGTCTACATCAGTATATTAAACTAATTGTGTTTGGCCAACCTCATTCAGGTATTTGGTTCCAACCACTGTCTAAAAACTTTAATTTGATCCACTTTGTTGTACATTGATCACTGCTTGGATTATAATAATGCACTATATCAGGGGTGTCAAACTCGCAATGTCACGTGACGTGTAGCGACATATTGCGACTTTTTCTCCATTGCTGGCAATGGGATGGGCGCGGTTTTGGCATGACACATGCGGCCCGTGGGCCGGCAGTTTGACACCCCTGCACTATATGATGGGCTTTCTTTGGAGATGAAGTCACTATAATAGTTATTGGAAAGCCTCTGAGCCCTGTTAATAATGTTGTTTATTACTTTTAGATTGCTATATAGCATAGCACTAGGACAACATGTGATTTACAATATAAATAAATTAATGTAGAGTTTGAATTATAAGATTTCCATGCTTAAAATGGTTTGACTTGTTCTCTTTGCCCTTTCCCCCTTCTGCCCAGGATTGAAAAGCTTCTTATTTTATGAACTGAAAAGTATTACAAATAACTTTGCTGACCAAACTCTGTCAGCTGGTGGCAACAAGATTGGTGAAGGAGGCTTTGGAGTGGTTTACAAAGGATGCATCAATGGCCAAACAGTGGCGGTGAAAAAACTTACAGCTGTAGGTTGTCTGTTTTTTGCTAATAATAATGTTGATTTATGCTATATTGCCTATTTAATTTAAAGAATTATGTCATACAATCATGCAGTAATAACAGTTCTATGCTGCCTTTCACACTGCATTATAATATCTAATCGAAAAATCAGAGCAGGAGCAAAATTTTAAGAATTCAAACAGGAAAATTGTTTCAAATAATTAAGCTTCAGAAATTTTTGACTTAACTAAGAGAATTTAATAATTCTGTGTAGAAAACATTACTTATGGCAAAATCCTTCAGTTTACTGTTCTACAAACATTTTGGGCTTAACAAAATTCAAGTATTTACTGGTTCTGAGAGCATAATTGATTTGTTTTGTTGAGATATAACAATGGATGTTTAAATCAGCCACAATGAACAGAACTCATATACAGTGACGGGAAAAAGTATTTGATCCCCTCCTGATTTTGTACATTTGCCACTGACAAAGAAATGATCAGTCTATAATTTTAATGGTAGGTTTATTTTAACAGTGAGAGACAGAATAACAACAAAAAAATCCAGAGAAACGCATTTCAAAAAAATTATGTTGATTTGCATTTTAATGAGTGAAATAAGTATTTGACCCCTTCATAAAAGATGACTTAGTATTTGGTGGCAAAACCCTTGTTGGCAATCACAGATGTCAGACGTTTCTTGTAGTTGGCCACCAGGTTTGCACACATCTCAGGAGGGATTTTGTCCCACTCCTCTTTGTAGATCCTCTCCAAGTCATTAAGGTTTTGAGGCTGACATTTGGCAGCTCGAACTTTCAGCTCCCTCCACAGATTTTCTATGGGATTAAGGTCTGGAGACTGGCTAAGCCACTCCAGGTCCTTAATTTGCTTCTTTTTTAAAAATATATTTTATTAATTTTTTGCAATAACAATCTTTAATGTTTTGTGAACAGTGTGTTGTCTGGGTTCATATATTTAAAACAATCAATAATAATTAATTTCTACAATTAATATGTTGGTAATATATTTCTTGATCCTCTCTTCTTCCTGTAATATTTTTCTTTTGTCTAAATTAAACAAATAAAATTATTAATATTTTTAGTATATACAAAATTGAATATAAACATTTTTAGTATTTATGCATATAATAATAACATCAACATATAACATGTTTTTAATCAGCTTGTATTTCCATTGTATGTATAAAAGTCATTAAGTCAATATATGTCCTGTTTTCAAGATTCTTACTGAAGTTTAGTTACCCCTCATTATTTAGACCACTCTTATCAGTCATAATTTTCTCAAAATTTATTACCTTTAAATATCTAAACTTTTCATTTAAGTAGACTCTCTCAATGTTTTAATATTTCATATATTCTAAAAGTGTTTTACTGCTTATATATCTTATTCCTCTTACTATAGGGTCCCTTTACAAGTTTTATCTATCTGTAGTTGTTTAGTGAGAAATTTGGCTAGGTTTTGTAGAGGTGAGCCAATGGAGCTGACTATGGGTCTGAGTGGGGTTCCTTCTTTGTGTATCTTGGGGAGACCATAGAGTTTGGGGCATCTGGATGATTTCTCTCTGGGAATGATTCTTTGCTGGATCTCTTCGCTAATGGGGGAGGCTTCTATTTTGGATCTGGTTTTTTTCCAGGTAGGTGGTGGATCTGTGTTTAGGGGTTTGTATGTGGAGTCTTGGAGTAGATTGGTTAATTTGGTTTGGTAGTCAGATGTGTTCATAACCACCGTGGTGTTGCCCTTGTCTGCTGGTAGGATTATTATGCTGGTGTCTTCTTTCAGGTTACGTAGTGCTGTCTGTTCCTCTTTGGGTAAGTTGCTTTTGGGTGGCTTGCTGGTGCAGAGGATGTTGGTGATTTTGAGTCTGATTCTGTTCGCGTCGTCGGGGTTGATTTTGGTCAGGCTGGTTTCAATTCCACATATAATGGTTTCAGTGGGGATGTGTTTGGGAGCGACTGCAAAGTTGAATCCTTTGGAAAGGACACTTCACCTCAAACTCAGCAACAAGATCCACCCCGCACTTAGGGACAAATCCAAATGACTCGCCGTCTGGAGAGCCAAAACACAGACCACCCTCAAGACAGACACACACACCAACAAACTCAGAAGACTACAAGAACACCAGAAACAAACCCCTCCTCCCTTACAGCCACACATGAAACAGTGCATAACATCTCAGATAGGATCCTCACCAAAGCTGAAACCAATGTCCTTTCCACGCAAAAAGCAAACCCAAAGCCACACCGATGATGAGGTACGACCACAAACCAGAAACCAGACCACAGCTGCATCATTAGCCACTTTAAACCCCTCCAATCCATACATGAAGCAAACTGACACCCACCATGAAAATGAGGCACGACCACGAACGCGAAGCCAGGCAAGGCAGCCCACCATCTTAAACCCTCCTGCAATTCAGACTAACCTGAGCACAACAAAGCCCCCACCCAAACAGAACACTCCTCCATCCAATCAGAGCACAGCCAATCCCCCAGCCAATCAGAGCACAGCCAAGCCCCTAACCAATCAGAACACACCTCCACCCAATCAGAACACAGCCAAGCTCCCACCCAATCAGTTCATACCCCCACTGGCAGTTAAAAGGAAGAAACAGCTAAGACCACACATTGCTCCTCGAAGCACAAAGCTGAAAACACCAGCCTGAAGATGACGAATGGGACTTCGTTGAAACGTCGCCAAGACACTTCCAATTTTACGCGGGAGAAAACCCGAATAACCAAAGACCTACATACAAACACCCGCAAAAACCTCAGAAAACATACACACACACACACACACACACACACATACATACATACATATACATACATACATACATACATACATACATACATACATAATTCAAACGCTTAGTCATGTAATATTCCATCTGATAAGTTGAATCGTGTCTCTTGACTCCAACTTTAATCTTCTTCTTTTGTCAGGTCACTTTCCAAATCAGTAAGTTTAGCTTGCCAGGTATTTTTGAAAGTGTTAATTGGGGACAAAAAAGACAAATCAAGTAGGGTATCAGGTTTTTATCTCCCACATTTTGATGATTCTTCTGACAATTCTTTAATCCATTTTATTTGTTCTTCTTTTTTATCCTCAAATTTGTTTTGAAGTCCTGGAGGATAAAGCATCTTTTTTGTCTTCTTTATTATAGTAAAGTTTTGCAGATTTTTTTTGTATTAAATTGTAGTTTTCTTCATTTATAGCTTTTCTATTTACCGTATTTTCCGGTGTATAAGACGACTTTCTAAACCCTGAAAATCTTCTCAAAAGTCAGGGGTTGTCTTATATGCAGGAATATACGGGTAGCTGTTCTCTGAATTTAAAACCAATCTGCCCCCTAGTGACCAGCCCTATTTTTTTTTACAGAAATAAGCACTAACAGGACAAAGCTTTCTAGCAGCAAAGCAGCTCCTATTGTGCTCATCTATAAACAGAAATTCAATATTGTACTGTATTTTCTGGTGTATAAGATGACTTTCTAAACCCTGAAAATCTTCTCAATAGTTGGGGGTCATCTTATACGCCCAGTCGCCTTATACGCTGGAATATATGGTAAGTGACTTTCATTTAATTTATATTCTGTTGTCTGATTGTTTGTTCATTCTTTGTTGTCGTATTTTGAGTGTCATTTAGTTGTAGGTTTAATTTAGAGATATGTTCGTTTATATTGTCAAACTTATTTCTAATCTCATCTTGATTTGAAACAATTATCGTTTGAATCTGTCGCAGCATTATGCATATTTTTTCCTGGAATGTATTTGTATTGTCTTGAGTCATTGTTCCTGCAGATCTTTGAAGCTCCAAACTGGAGTCTTCAAAAAAAGGTGTTAGGTATGGTTTTCTATTACTTTTAGATAGGTATATAATATCCATTTTATTTCTCCCTCTAAGTAGTTTCCCATTGGTGTCATAAGCTTTTTAATTAGTTTTATCAAGCCAGTCCATCTTAAAATCCAAACAGCCAAATCTCACGTAGTTCTTATCTTTATATAATGGTTTTATAATCCAGTACATTTCCAATTTTTAAGGCACCACTGAAAACAGTATTTTGTGGCAGTTCTTCTTTTCAGGGTTCTTGTAATTATCAGCCAGTCAAGATTCAGTTCAAAGTATTTGACCATCTAAAAGTTTTTCAGTAATTTCTCCTTTAGAGGATTAGCCAAAAGCCAAAATTTTTCTTTCTTTGCAAAAGAGTTCTTAGGTTAAGATTTAAGAATGCAGTTCAGTGTGTTTATAATCCCAGAAGTTCAGCAGTTTCTAAACATATGTAGTTTCACTCAATAGTAGATAACTCAATGCTTTGTTCCCAGTTGTTTTTTGCTGTTTCTAGGCATCTTGCCAAATTCTGGGTCAGTGCTACTATAGTTTTCTCTAATCCTCCACTAGATGTCACTGTTCATTTTTCAACTTTTTAGAATGAAGAGTTATTTTTGTATGTATGTATGTATGTAATATCTGTTGGGTGAGGCACCCGGTCTACCATATATAAATCAGTCTGTTCTGCGTTTCACTCCAATCTAGGAGCATGTTTTGCAGGCAGACCTCACATACTGTGAACACTATAAATTCAAAATTTTGTGGCTGACAAAGAGTTAGTGGGAGACTAGTATAGCTATTTCAGGCTCATTTGCCCTCATCAGCTGTTCTGATGTGGGGAACCTGTGGTTCAAAAGGGTAATACAGCTGCCTAACATGCAAGCTGCCCAGGTTCGAATCCCTGAAGGGTGTGAATAGCTGATGAGGGCAAATGAACCTGAAATAGCTATATTTTAATTAACAATTAACATTAACAATTTTAACAATTTTCTTAACTTTCAAATTTATCCAATCTGTGGTATTTTACATTTTTATTCCCCATAAGGGTTTAATTCACCACTTCCGTCTATAGAAGGGTGAGACAATCCCCCCCCCCCGCTTCTCACTTTGGGAGGCTTTTTGCTTCTTGGGGAAGTTTTTCAGGAAATCAAATATAAAAAGGAGAGAGAAGATCAAATTCCTCACCAATTTTCAACATGCTGTTCACTATTGTGCTGGTTAGTGCCTTTGGACTTTGGTTGCATGTAGCTTGGGCTGACTAGCAAAATGTGACTAGCCTTTCTCCTGTCGGATTAGAAGACTTCCCTCGAACCGAACCAAATGACCGCTGTCGTTCCAGAGTTATCGGGGCACTCTTCTTTCATTACTGCCTCTCCGGGGTGACTTAGACTCATTTAGGATCCCCTGGCAGGGCAAAACTAGCCGCGGGTTGTGGAGATCCGCAATCCCGTGACCAGGCGCTACGGCACAAGACCGGAAATCTCCTTAATGTGCTTCTTCTTGAGCCACTCCTGTATTGCCTTAGTCGTGTGTTTTGGGTCATTGCCATGGGTGGGTAATGTAATGCCGGGGATAAGGGAAGGAGGTTCTCACCTAAGGTTTGACAGTACATGGCCCGGTCTATCGTCCCTTTGATGAAGTAAAGTTGTCTTGTCCACTTAGCAGAAAAACACCCCTAAAGCATAATGTATCCACCTCCATGTTTGATGGTGGGGTTGGTGTTCTTGGGGTCACAGGCAGCATTCCTCCTCTTCCTAACACGGTGAGTTGAGTTGATGCCAAAAAGTGTGATTTTGGTCTCATCTGACCACAACACTTTCTGACCACAACACTCATCTGACCACAACACTTTCTCAACACAGTTCTCCTCTGAGTCATTCAGATGTTCATTGGCAAACTTCAGATGGGCCTGTACATGTGCTTTCTTGAGCAGGGGGACCTTGCAGGTGCTGCAGGATTTCAGTCCTTCACGGCGTAGTGCATTACCAATTGTTTTCTTGGTGACTATGGTCCCAGCCGCCTTGAGATCATTGACAAGATCCTTCCATGTAGTTCTGGGCTGATTCCTCACTGTTCTCATGATCATTGAAATTCTATAAGGTGAGATCTTGCATGGAGCCAGACTGAGGGAAATTGACAGTTATTTTGTGTTTCTTCCATTTGCAAATAATCGCACCAACTGTTGTCACCTTCTCACCAAGCTGCTTGGCAATAGTCTTACAGCCCATTCTAGCCTTGTGTAGATCTACAATCTTGCCCCTGACATCCTTGGATGTCTCTTTGGTCTTGGCCATGGTGAAGAGTTTGGAATCTGATTGATTGATTGCTTCTATGGACAAGTGTCTTTTATACAGTTAACAAACTGAGATTAGGAGTACTCCCTTTAAGAGAGTGCTCCTAATCTCAGCTTGTTACCTGTATAAAAGACACCTGGGAGTCAGAAATCTTGCTGATTGCTATTTCACTCATTAAAATGCAAATCAATTTATAACTTTTTTGAAATGCAGTTTTTTGGATTTTTTTTGTTGTTATTCTGTCTCTTACTGTTAAAATAAATCTACCGTTAAAATTATAGACTGATCATTTCTTTATCAGTGAGCAAAGAAATCAGCAGGGGATCATATAATTTTTCCTTCACTGTAACATGCTTGATCATAAAGCATTTTTAGAAGTCATCCTTTATTAGCTTTTTATTTAAACCAGATATCATGGATAATAGCCCATGTTTCTTGCCAGTACAGGATATGAACCCAGATAATTGCAGTTTATTCACTTCCTCTTAGGTCAGCGGTTCTCAACCTGTGGGTCGCGACCCCATTTGGGGTCAAACGACCATTTTACAGGGGTCGCCAAAGAACGCGATCCGCCTTTTTTTCCTCAGCTGGAGACACCGCGCATGCGCGCCACGCATGGGGGGCGCGCATGCGCGGCACGTCCTTATGACTGGGGTCGCCGGTATAAAAAGGTTGAGAACCACTGTCTTTAGGTAATGAAATCAAGGCATAGGGCTCTGCAAAAATAAGTATATATCTTTTCTATCAACCACATGTACATTTATTTTATTGTAGTTGGCTGATGTAAGTATCAAAGACCTGAAAAAGCAATTTGAGCAAGAAATAAAGATTATGGCAAGGTAAGTAGTATGCGTTGTTAAAATATTGTTGCAATATGTACTGTATCTGGAATAAATTGCTAAGTTTTTTTTAAATTTCATGTTAGAATTAAAGTTGAAATCTTAGTAGAAAATATATAGAAATATTAGATATTTCTTCTAATTGCATATTATGAAATTTAAGAAGGTGCAGCAGAAACTAGGGGAATGTTAATCACTGATAATATTACTGCATATATTGGTGGTGGCTATTGCTCCAGGTTCGTGCACTGGATGATGTTACTGATACAGAGGAAAAGGTGAAGGAGCAACATTGATCCTTCATTAATTGCTACTGGAAAAGATGGAGATTATTGAAATTATGTCAAAAAGACAAAAGCTAATAAAGCAGAAACAGTGGGAAGAACAAAGAATCTTGCGTAAGCAAAAATGTAAAGAAAAACACTTGAAGAGAGAAATGGAATGCCAATCTCAGCTGGAATCAAACAGTGAAGGAAGTGTTAGGAAACATATGCATAGGGATATTGTTCCTAGTGTACTTCGCTTATAATAGACTGAAGTTTTGACAATTTAGTGGGGTTAAAGGATGTCAAGAAACTTCATAAGCAAATTCAGAAGTGTTATGCAGAAAATCGTAAAGCACTTCATCCTGTTCAGTTTTACTTGATCAGTCATGGAAGCCAGCTGAAGGACAACATGAATGAAACAGACAAGGGATGGATAAATTGGAAGGATATTAATATTAAATCAGCTCATTATAGTGATTTGGTGAAAAAGGAAGATCTTGTTTACCTTACCTCAGATTCTCCAGATGTCTTGAGTGAATTAAATGAATCAAAAACCTATGTTATTGGAGGCTTGGTTGATCACAGTCAACACAAGGGAATTGCACACAAAAGAGCAAAAGAACAAGATATAAGCCATGCACAGCTCCCCCTAGGAAACTTTGTGAAATTTTAGTAGTTTAGGAAACATGTTGATATAGTAATCAAAGTAGTTCAGTTGTAATTCTAAAAGCCTTTTTTAATTTTCATTTACTTTAATATCACTAGTACAACTATACACATAGAATGGCCATCTCTTTTGGGAAAGGGACTAGCATTGTGCAGGGCCGTAGCTTTTAGAATTTTTAGTTTTTTAAAAAACACAAGCTAGCTGAAGGGAACTTTAGTTTCAATTCTAACATGAGAGGAAATTTCTCTAGAAATAAACATGATTTATGCTCATGACATCTTCAGAAATCATCTATTTTGCTGATCTGAACTGTTCATTTTGCTGATCTGAACTGTTCATTTAAAAACATATTTCCCAATTATTTTTATGTACATATTCTTGAAGCTTAAGAAACTTTCTTTGATTAATTACTGTGACCTATTCTAAATTTATGAACTAAGAAGTAGGTTCCACTAATTGGAATGAAATTTACTGTTTTAAACTTTTGAAGTTACTTGGAATGTTTCAGGTCATGTATTGAAATAAATATTTATTTTTGATTTTATATCCTTGAGATTCCAATTTTAGCATTTTTTTAAAAAAAATACTGTATTATTTTAGTTAGTTAGACCAGTGATTGCCCTGACTCAGGCCAGATAGGACAGATAACAGTATTATGTCTAATTTGATGTTCAGTAGTCAAAACATTGATTATCTGATTTTTGGAAAGGAATATTTCTATCCATAGAAATTAACACAGAATATTTTGTGTAGAAAATATTAAGCTATGAAATTTACTGTCTTTAGGACCGCTGTAGTGCTTCTAGCTTGTGAACAGTTTTGGGGGGGGGGAGAGGGGAGAGTTGGGATTCACAGGTGCTCCTTATCAATGTGAGAGCCGAAGCCACTAAGGAGATGTTATGGTGAAGACTGAAGTTTCTTCTCATAACAGTTGCTGGAAGATTAATTGGACAATGTGACCTGAACTGTCAGAGAGGGGAGGGACAGTTTTACTCTTTTTTTTTTAAAAAAAAAAATATTTTATTAATTTTTTACAATAACAATCTTTAGTGCTTCATGAACAGTATGTTGTCTGGGTTCATATATTTAAAATGATAATTAATTTCTACAATTAATCAATATGTTGGTAATATATTTCTTGATCCTCTCTTCTTTTTTTTATTGAAAAGTTTTATTCAAGTTTTTAACAATATCCCCCCCTAGAATAACCCCCTCCCTCCCTCTCCCCCTCACTTCCCAGAGCAGGTTACAGGGTTACAAATAAACAAGCAAATTCTAAATAAAGTTATTCAACTATACAAATAACAAAATCAATAATGTGCTTTAACTCAAATACAAAACAAATTTAAGCAAATTTAAAAAAACAAAAATAACAATATAAGTAATTCCAAATTAAAAACTAAAAATTATTCATAATCTAAATAATCCATTAAATCCCATATTTACTCTACATGTAATTTATCAATCTTCTCCATGCCGAGGTGTATATTTCTTTTAAACAACCATTCATCCATAATAAACACAAGATTTTCCCTTCAATATAACTCCATCAACAAACTTACATTCAATAAACTTGGCTCTTTGCTTTTTTCCCCCCCACCCTTAAGTAAATTTATTAATACCCTCCTACTTAAAAGTTTTAGCAAACCATTCATCTTAATCACTAAAATTCTCATCAACAGAGATCATTAGAATTTAAATTCTTTTACACCTTTACCCATAATATCTCATAATTATTTTTATACACTTTAAATTAAAAAAATTATAATATATACTCCCAAATATTTAAACTTTTCCACTAAATCAACACCTTCTATTATTCTTTTTCTTTACATCTACATACTACACAAGTCATTCACTATTCCTTTAAAACATACTAAATCAAACTACCAGCTAAACTAACATTTATTGTTCTTTGTCTTTACATCTACATATTACACAAATCATTCACTATTCCTTTAAAACAGTGGTTCTCAACCTTTCTAATGCCGCGACCCCATAATACAGTTCCCCATGTTGTGGTGACCCCCAACCACTTATACATCACCGGGTGCCAGGGGCGTGGCCAAAGAAAAGGGGGAAAAAATGGCGGACAGCCTTGTTTGGCGACCCCTGTGAAATGGTCGTTCGACCCAAAATGGGGTCCCGACCCACAGATTGAGAACCACTGCTTTAAAACATCTTCTATCTCAAAAAACTACTACAAAAGTTCTTCATTTCCTTTTCTTTGTTCCAACATCCGCCTTCTGCTGTTCTTTTTCTTTATGTCTATAGGCAGCACGAGTCATTCTCGGTTTCTTTAAAAAAATCTTCTGTCACAAGACACTGTTGCAGAGGTTCAGCCTGTATGTCTCCTACATCATCCGGCTGCTCTTCCAACTTTTCTTCTATTATCTTAGGTCATGAAAATGATGGAGAGCCCGCTTTCAAAACAAAAGTGTAAAAATCTTTCGCCTTTGAAATTGTATTAAGTCTATAATATATCCCCGTATAATTCACCACTATTCCAGCCAGTATCTCCCATCTGAACCGGACCTGTCATTTTTTGAGCTCGTCAGCCAAAAAAGCAAAATCCTTTCTTTTTCTAAGAATTTTTTTTAATATAATTTTTTATTGAATAACAGAAAAAGAAAAAAAAATAAAAACATTTGAACATGGTAAATCAGATTTGACAAACATCTCAGTTCATATTCACAATTAATTATTAATAAAAACTCTATACAATAACATCAGTCTAATCTCAATCTTAACTTATCTCATTACAATGACCTCCATATTTTTTGCCCCACCATCTATAAAATTTGTTCCAAATTTGGTAAAAATCCATTTCATCCTGATTTTTAAGTCTTTTAGTTACCTATCTAATTCTGTGCAGTGCATAATTTTATGAATTAAGATTTCCTCACTAGGTATAGCCATAGCTTTCCAATTTTGAGCGAATACAATTCTTGCCGCTGTAACCACATGAATGAATAAATATATATCCTCTTTACTAACATTTTTTTCAAGAATTCCTAACAACAGTGTCTCAGGCTTATACTGAATGTTTTGCATACTCATTTCTGCTACCCATTCCCAAACCATACGCCAATATCTCTGTGCTTCTTTACATGACCACCAAACATGAAAAAAGTGCCCCTTTCTTTTTTGCATTTCCAACACAAAGATGAGTATCCTTTGTACATTTTGGTTAATCTTGCTGGAGGGAGATGCCATCTGTAAATCATCTTATACAAATTTTCTTTATATGAGGACGCCAATGTAATTTTATTATTTCGCATCCATACCTGCTGCCATTGATCCAAATTAATGTTGTGTACTAGATCTATCGCCCACGTCACCATTGTTTCTTTAACCTGTTCTTCAAATAGCCTGTACTCCAATAGGTGTTTGTAAATATTCTTTATTTGTTTTTTTTTTCGGACTAAGCAGAATTTTATCTAGCCCCATATCTTGTCTATAAATACCCCATTCATGTTTGTCTTTCAAATATCTTGCTTGGATCTGGAGGTAAGACCACCACTCTATCTCTATTCCTTGTCTTAACTCTTGTTTAGATTTTAAAAGACCCTCTTCTGTCAAAATGTCTTTATACCTGATAACCTTATCTTTCCTGAGCAAATTGGGGTATATAACTGCCTCCAATGTCGATAACCAAGTTGGGATCTTTGTATAATGAGATTTAACAGTATTCCAACTTTTAATTAACCCTTGCCAGACCTTGTGTTTTAAATAATATTGGTAGTTTCTACTTTGCCCCTTCCACATATGAGCATGCCATCCCTGCTGAAGATCATAACCCTCTAACTGAATACATCTTTGATTCTGTAAGGTTATCCAATCACTAATCCAAGACAGGGCTGTGGCTAAGTAATATAATTTCCAATCAGAAAAGCCTAAACCACCCCTTTCCTTGGCATCTTGTAAAGCCTTTAATTTAATTCTAGCCTTCTTACCAGACCATACAAATTCTGAAGTTAGTTTATTTAACTCCTTGAAAAATTTCTTATCCAAGTAAATCGGAATATTCTGAAACAAAAATATCAATTTCGGTAGGATATTCATTTTTACAGCAGTGATTCTCCCAAGTAATGAGAGGTGTAAATTTTTCCAACGTTCTAGATCAACTTTAATTTTTTGTATTAATTTAACATAATTATCTTCTTTAATTGATGAACAACGTGCAGAAATGACTATCCCTAAGTATTTAAATTTAGAAACTACTTGTATCCTAATTTAACCTCGAGGGATCCTTTTTGTATATCGGTCATATTTTTAGTGATAATCTTTGTTTTATTTTTATTTATTTTTAAACCTGCATAATCTCCGTAAACTTCTAAAATTTCAAATAATTTCTGCCCAGAGTGTTCTGGGTCTTCCAAAATAAAAGCTAGGTCATCTGCATAAGCCTGAAGTTTATATATTTCTTTCTTAATCTTAAATCCTCTAATCTGTCCTTCTTACCTTACCGCTCTAGCAAGAATTTCTAGAGTATAAATAAACAACAATGGCGAGAGAGGGCATCCCTGTCTAGTGCCTTTCTGTATGTTAAGTCTATCAGTGGCTACCCTGTTTATTATGATCTGCGCATATTGTTTTGAATATATTGCAGTTATAACATTTAAAAAATTTCCTCCGGCTTCCATTAATTTTAATTGTTGTATCATAAATTGCCAATTAACATTGAAAGCCTTCTGCCCATCAAGAAACAGAAGTTCCACTTGCCGATCGTTATGTGATTCATAAAATTCAAGGATATCTAAGATTATTCTCATATTATGTTTAATCTGTCTGTTTGGTAAGAAGCCGTTTTGATCCGGTTGTATAAAATCTATTAAAGATTCTTTAAATCTCTCCGCCATTATTGAAGCAAAAATTTTATAATCCAAATTCAATAAAGATATGGGTCTATAATTTTGTATCCATATTTTTTCCGCATCTGCTTTTGGAATCAGTGTTATATTTGCCTCTAACCATGACTTAGGTATTTTAGCTTTGGTAAGTACTGCATTAAAGACCTCTAATAGATATTGGTTAAAAACACTTTGTAAGTCTTTATATAATTCAGCAGGTATTCCATCTGGGCCTGTCACCTTATTAATTTTTTGTCTATTTATAGCCCTAATTAATTTAGACATGCTTATTTCCTCATTTAACATAGATTTTATTTCCTCCGGTATCTTTGGCAACTCTGCCTTTGGTAAATATTCAATTATCTGTTCCATGCTTCTTCCCTCATTACTCTTATATAAATTTTCGTAATATCTTTGAGCAATGCCCCTTTTTATAGTCTCCTCCCCCTGGGTTTCTCCATTTTCATCTACCAGATTAGTAATCCATGATTTCGCTTTCTGTTTTTTTAATTTATACGCTAGCCACCATCCCGATTTATTTGCGTACTCAAAATTATTTTGGTTAGCTGCCTGAAATTTTTGTGCATGTTTTTCCAATTCCTCTAAGTTAAGTTTGTGTTTAATTAAATCCATTTTTATTTTCAATCCTTTATTTCCAGGATCTCTCTGAAGTAATATTTCAGCCTGTTTATAGTTTGCCTCATCTTATATTGCTGTTTCTCTTTATTTCTCTTAGCCGTATACGAAATAATAACCCCCCTCAAATATGCTTTAGCCGTGTCCCAAAGATTCTGCAAGGATGTGTCCTCATTATCATTCACTTGAAAGAAAAGATGCATTTCTTTCTCCATACTTTCTCTAAATTCTTTTTCCTTAAGAATCCCTCTTTGGAAGGTCCATCTTGGCCTATATCTTTGGCCTTTCAAGCATAAACTTATCGGGTTATGATAAGCCCAGAGACTGGGTTCTATGTCTATTTCATGTATTTCTGAGGCTAATTCTTCGGTACACCATAGCATATCTATTCTAGTCCATGATCT